TTTTAATTTTTTTTTTTTCTTTTATAAAATTCATCTTTTTTTCATTTATTTTTTAATTTTATTTAATTTATTAATACTATTATCACCATTATTATTATTATTATTATTATTTATTGTTTTAACTAAAAAATAGATTTAGAAAAAAAAAAAGAAAAGATAATAATTAATAAACATTTATCAATTTAGTTTAAATAAGAGTAAATTAATAAAAATGAATGGAGGTGATTTTAATGAAGTTTCAGCAGTAACACCAAATGGATCCGACCTTTCTACTGGTAAATATTGGAGAAATAATTTAGATAATTGTTTAGCTAGAATATTAACACCTTTTTTTTTTTTTTTTTTTTTTTTTGAAATAATAAAGAAAATAAAGAATTTGCACTTGACAAATCCCAAATATCGACAAAAGCTGTAAGTAATAAAACAGAATCAAACAAATAATATTAATATTATTTAATAATAAATAGTGGATAATAACGGGTTTTATAGCAATATTCTCACAGCATATAATTTTGTATTTTTTTTTTTTAAAAACTATTATTTTAATATTTGCATATTTTTTTATTTGTGTGGTGTGCCACTCTATTTTTTTTTATAAAGATTATTATCAAAAAAGAGTCGGAAAGTATTGCCCCTATAATTTAATTTTGTTTTAATTTTTTTTATAATATTATATTTGATGGAAATATAACAAAAAATTAAAAACAAAAAAAAAAGCACAAATAATTTATACATATTATAAAAAAAAAAAAAACACTATTCGCAATATAATTTTTTATTGTATCATTGATTTTTTTTTTTTTCGAAACTTTATGACGAAGGGTCATCGGTAATATAGGGATTAGAAAAAAAAAAAAACTTTTTAGTTTTTTTAATTTATTAAATTATTTTTTAAAAATTTTTTCTGTGTTGTTTTACATTTTTTTGTTCAAAGAAATAAATATTTTAAAAAAAAATTAAAATTTTGTTGAAAAAAAAAAAGATTTTGTTTTTTTTTTTTTATTTTTCGTTATAAATTAATTTCAGACCATTTTGTTGTTATTGCAAAAAAAACTAATCTTTTTTAGACAAAACCAACAAAATAAGCACTAAATTTATATACACTCATTTTTTTTTCATAGCGATCGATCAGTCAGTAATATTTTACAGGCACAAACACACACCAACAAACTCCATATTAATAATTTTAAAAAAAAAAAACCTCCACCCCACTGCTTCATAATAATAATTTTTTATTTTTGTTTTTTTATTTTTATTTTTTAATTTTATTTTTAATTTTTTTTTATTTTTATTTTTTTTTTAATAATAGTATTAAATAACTTTTTTTAACTCTACGGTTATTAAACCTCAACTCCTCCAAATTTGTTTTAATTTTATTTTTCAAAAACGAAAATAAAAATCAAAATAAAATAAAAAATAAAAAAAAAAAAATAAAAAATCTAAATGAGCAAATTAAAATTCGAGAGGGGGCAATACATGTCTCTAAAGAATAACTATGAGGAGGAAGACGATAATAGCCAAGAGGAATATATTAATAATAACCATTTGTTTCAAAAGCTAATAAACCCAACACAACAAAAAAATAACAGTAGTTATAATATTACAAATAGTAATAATACTACAGATAATAGTAGTAATAACAATAATTATATAAAAAACCCGAATACAATGACAAATAATAATAACGATAATAATAATAATAATAATATAAATATACCAGAACTTACAGATTCGAATAATGATATACTAACATTAAATAATGAAACAAAAAATATACAGAGTTCAATATTATTACAATTAAAACAAACTATTGTGGCTGGTACAGGTAAGTAATAAATTATAAATAAATAAAAATAAATAAATAAATAAATAAATAAATAAATAAAAAAAATAAATAAAATAAATAAAATAAATAAATAAATAAATAAATAAATAAATAAATAAATAAAAACAAAAAAATAAATGAAAAAAGAAAATAAATAAATAAATAATATAAATATATAAAATAATTAAAATTATAGTTTTTATATTAATTTTTTTTTTTTTTTTTTATATTTTTATAATTTTAAAAAATAGGTTTTTTATGTGACGCTTATGATTTATTTGTTATAAATTTGGTTTTAGTTATTTTACAATATATACCTGAATATAATGAAAAAGGTGGTGAATCATCAATGGTATCAACAGGTGCACTTTGGGGAGCAGTTGGTGGTCAAATTATATTTGGATTTTTAGCAGATAGAATTGGAAGAAAAGTTGGTTTTATTATTACACTTTCTTTAATTACATGCGGTGCAATTCTTAGTGCTTTTTCAGTTGATAGACCTGCTCTTAGTATTTTTGGTATGCTCACCATTTGGAGAACTATATTGGGATTTGGTATTGGTGGTGAATATCCATTATCAGCCACCATCTCTAGTGAGTCTTCAAAAAATGACAGAAAGCGTGGTTCACAAGTTGCTGCTGTATTCAGTATGCAAGGTCTTGGTATTATTTTATCTCCAATTGTAGTTCTTATTTTACTTAAAATCTGTGGAGGTGGTCACCTTGACTTGGTTTGGCGTTTAGCTTTAGGTTTTGGTGGTATTCCAGGCTTAATTATGATTTACTTTAGAATCACTATGAAGGAAACCAACTCTTTCAAAAAGAACAAGAAGATTCAAAAGAGTGAAATGTTAAGAACTATTATTTTCAAGTATTGGAAAACTCTCTTGGGTACTGCTGGTGGTTGGTTCATTTTCGATATCACCTTTTATGCAAATGGTCTTTTCAATGGTACAATTGTCTCTTTGATCGGTTTAAACAATGCTGACACTGACTATGGTAAAGTTTGGAATACCACTTTGGTATCATTGTATCTAGGTTTACTTGGTTTACCAGGTTACTATGTTGGTGTATGCTTAATTGACCGTATTGGTAGAAAGAATCTTCAAATGCTCGGCTTTGCTTTACTCGGTGTTACCTACATGGTTATGGGTTTCTCATATGACCACATTGTCAAAATCAAGGCCCTATTCATCATTCTTTATGGTTTAACTTTCTTCTTTGGCAATGCTGGCCCTAACACTACAACATTTGTTTTGCCATCAGAGTCTTTCCCAACTAAAATCCGTGCTACTTGCCATGGTCTTTCCGCTGCTGCTGGTAAAATAGGTGCTGTTATTGGTGGTGCTACTATTAAACCATTGTTCACCAATTACGGCTTGGATAAAACTCTTATTGTTTGTGGTGCTATTGCTTTTGTTGGTCTTATTCTTACTTTCTTTATTGTTGAAGAGACAATGGGTAAACCTATCATTGAAGATGAAGAAGTTGAAATGGAACAAATTGAATCTATTGATTCACCAACTTTAGAAGAATCAACTTCAAGTAGCAGTAGCGGTGTAGATGAAGCAAAATAATTTAATTAATTTATTAATTATTATTATTATTATTTTTAATTTTTTTTTTTATTTCAATAATAATTAATAGTTAATAATATAATAATAACATAATAACAATTAATAATATAATATATAATAGTATAATAGTAGAAATAGTAACAGTAGTAATCAGTTTCAATATTTCCTTGTTTTTTTTAAAAGAATAATATAACTATTATTTTTTTTTTTTTTTTTTTTTTTTTAAATTTTTTTTATTCATAAATCGTTGTATATATATCGAACAAGTTAAAATAATAATAATAATAATAATAATAATAATAATAATAATAATAATAATAATAATAATAATAATAACAATACCGTCAGTAATCATCTAAACCATGGCTATGATAGGTTAAAACCAATTAATGAAATCCTTTCTCTTTACAAATATAGTAAATAATAAATTAATAATATTAAAAAAAAAACAAATAAATATTTTTTATATATAAAATTAAATGAATATTTATTTTATTTATTTTATTAAACCACAGCAAAATGGGTAATAAAAAATTGCAAAGAATCTTTTTTTTTTTTTCAAACAAAAATAATATTAAATATTAATAATAAATACAACTTCGGTTAAATTTGTAATTATAATTTTATTTCTATATGCGTTTTTTAATTTACAATAAAATTGAAACAATATTAACAATTTATTTTTTTAATAACTTATAGTATTATTATAAATATTATTGAGTATAATCTCGGGTTAGGTGTCCTCAATTTTTTACTGGAAAAACTCACAGAATTACATTTTAAATTTTATTCATAGTTTTATCAATTATTATCTATATTTTTTTAACCTTTTTATTCTATTTATTACTGGGGAGTATACTTAAATACAACTTATAATTCTATAGATAGTTCAATGGAAGCAGTTATAAGCAGCGGTGAAAGCATAAAAAATTGAGGAGTCTTTTTTTTTAAATTTAAAATAAAAAATTTATCAAATTTGAAAATTAATGCGCAGTGTTTTCAAAAAATTTCTTTTTTTTTTCCCAATAAAATATGTAAAAATTTGTAAAATGCCATTTATGTTGAACAAATCAAATATTGTTAAAATCAGATGGATTTTAAAATTTTATTATAATAAAAACAATTTCAGTTATATTTGTAAATTAAAATCTTTTTTCTATATTTGTGTTTTTTAAAATCTTTTACAATAAAATAAAATTTTTTTTTTTTTTTTAATTTATTATAAAAAAATATAAATTGTAAAATTTTTTTATTTATTCCCATTTAATTCAATTAATTTTTATAATCTAAACAATTTAATACATATACAAAAAAAAAGATGTCAACTTTATCTGATGTTGTTTTAAGAGAAGTCGTAAGTAATAACTTATAGTATTTTATATTATCATTAGATATTAATATAAAATTTTAAAACATAGAAAGAAATGATGGCTAAATATGACACTGATAAAAACAATGAACTTTCAAGAGAAGAAGTCTTAGATAGATTCAGAAAAACTGGTGTCAAAAATCCAGAACAAGCTGTTGACTCAATGTTTAATGCATTAGATACAAACAAGGGTAATTATATTATTATTATTATTTATATTGGCAATGGGTTTACATTAATTTTTATTTTTTATAGATGGTAAAATTACTCTTGCCGAAGTTGAAGAGCATAAACTTAAAGTTTACACCAAGAAAAGAGATGATTCAATTCGTAAAGATGTTGCTGCAATCTTAAAACAATATGACGCCAATGGTGACAAGCAAGTTACATATGAAGAAGTTGTTGAACATTTTAGAAAGGCCAACTCACCTTACCCAGAATTAAATGCTAAATTCCTTTTTGAAGAAATTGATACTAACAATGGTAATTATATTTATAATATATTATTAGATTTCAATAGAAACAATAATTTTAACTATATTTTTTATTTAAACATATATTAGATAAAAAAATTACTGTTAGTGAAATCAAAGAAGTAAGTTATAATTTTTTTATATAATTTAAAATTGAACAATATTAACTATTTTTTTTTTTTTTTTTTTTAATTTTTATAGTATTCAAAGAGAGTATACAATCTTATGTTAGACCAATAAAAATCCCAAGTTGTCTTCAATTTTTTTTTGTGATTGTTACAATAAAAAAAATAAATAAAAATTATAAAAAAAAATTAACCTCCCAGAAGGAAAAACTCACAAAATTACATTTAAATTCATAGTTTTATCAATTATTTTTTAATACTTTTTTTTATTTATTTATTTATTTAATTATTTAATTTTAAATTAATTATTAAAAAATTTTAATTAATTTTTTAATTTTTTTTTTTTTTAAAATTTCATTTTTTAATTTTTTAATTTTATTTAATTAAATTTTACTTTTTTCATCATATATTTTATTAAAAAAATAATGAATAAAACTTTAAATATTTTTAATTTTTTAAAAAAAATTAAATACAATAAATTTTTTATACAAAATAGAGTTAATAATCTTTATATTTCAAAAACCACTCTTTTAAATTACAATAGCAAAATAAATATATCAAAAAATAACATAGATAATATACTCAGCTTAAGATACTATTCCTCATATAATCAAAGAGGTTTAAAAAAGAATGTTTATAAAGATAACAATAAAAAATCAATCGGTATAGATTTTGACAGTGTTACTAGTTTAATTTCTTCCAATGTTGATAAAATAATAAAAGGCAAAATACTTCCAAAGGATGTTTCCATTGCAGTAAACAAAATAATAAAATGCAATGAATGTGATATTAATGTTAGAGACAGAATGTTATCTTGCCAGTTTCTTTTTTTTTCACAATCATTACTTAATAATAATAATCCAAGAGTAAGTTTAGTAATAAAGATTATTCATTAAATTGTTTTATTATATATATTAACATCATTATTTTTATAGGGTCTAGATAAAGATATTTTAAATAAGGTTTGGAAATTAATAGATATTAAGGATAAAGATTTTTATGACGATTGGGATAATATTGGCTATTATTATTGTCAAGTTCTATCAATAAAACTTTTTATTCCATTGGTTACTGGTGAATACTTTAATACAACATATAATTCCATAGATAGTTCAATGGATGCACTTATAAGTTGTGTAAAGCATAAAGAATTCGAACCAAACGGGTTTTCAGATTTTACAAGATATTCATTTGATATTTCATTGGCTTTGGGTAAGTGGAGAGAAGCGATATTTTTAAGAACCTTGTTATCAAATCAATCTGTTATTTTTTCAAAACTGTCACTCAGCAATATATATTCTATAGACTCTGAATCAATTTATAAAATTATAACAAAGCAAATCTCTCACTCTATATTGAATGACCCTTTTTATGAAATAGATCAAAAAGAATATTCTCCAATCAATGAAAAGTTTTTTTTCATATTCAAAAAGTATCAATTTAAGCAATTTGGACTAAAGCACACAAATTTCGAAAACATTAACACAGAAAAAGAAGAGTTTGATATTAAAAAAGACAACTATATATTAACGAGTAAGGCTTTAGAAACTATCCAACAGGTTAATGAAAATGGTTTTAGAACTTATGGTAATTAATAATATTATTACTCTTTGTATTTAAAACTACATTACTAACTAACTTATTTACTATTAGGAAATGACGGTACTCAGATGATATTTTTAGGAAGAGCAGTTAAATTAATTCTTCCAGATGGAATGGTATATGGTGGAATAGTTAGTTTAGATTTCAAGAAGATTCATCTTTATGGAATTTCAGTTTCATTAAAAGGAGAAATAATAGAAGGACAATTTAATCTTAATGTTCAAATCAGTGATGACAATAAAACGATTGGTCTTGAAGGAGTCCATAGATCAGTTTATATATCAAATAATAACCAAAAAATATTGGTAGATAATAATTTCTTTGCTAAAATGGAAATAAAAAAATAAAAAATAATAATATTTAAAATTTTTAAAACTTTATTTTTTTTTATTTATTTTATTAAGTTTAATTTATTTTAATTAGTTCTACTTCAAAAATTAAATAGGAGTTTGGAGGTATATCACCTAAATCCCTGTCCCCATATCCTAGGGAAGGCTAAAAAATATATATTAATAATTAATCATTTTATTTATATTTTTTAATAAATTTATTACTTACTGGGATTCTTAATACTCTTTTTTGGTGAACACACATATCCAATA